CCTAATTGATCCTCTCTCACTATCACTTTCCCTCACTCCTTCTCCCTTGCGCTGTGTCTGAGCTTTCGGTCTTGTCATCTCTTGTTCACCCATCTCTCCACTGTCTCATTAAATTAGAGGACAATAGTTACTTTAATGGCAACATTGTTAATTTACTCAAACATTAATCTGCCATTTGTCCAGTTCATTGTGTGCTGAGCTTTCAAAACTATGGCACATGGACAAAACCAAGCCCCTTCCAAAGAAGCCATGTGCAGCCAGACAAGATTGGAATAGATGTGACAGACACTGAATTAGAGATGGGGGATAAACAGTGATGAGCTATATGCAAGCAATGTGGAGAGAAAAGCAAAGAGACAAAGGAAAGTGCCTCTTAGGGTAAGGTGGAGATAGTCTTGGTGGTTTTACATATCTTGCCAGTTCTCTTACTTGATGATTTGACATTTTTGTGGCAGGCCAGACGGTGGCCATTTGCTTCTTTCTCCTATGTGAACTTTATTATCACTTAGTGCCATTTTGGGGTTCGGACACTATACCCATAGTTCTGCTTCTACTATTGTATGAATGAGACCCATTAAGAAGTTAAATACCCCCGTGTATTGTTGTTGTGCAAGACGATCTTAATGTCTTTTTTTAAATTTCGTAAACATTTTCTTTAAAATCTGTCTGTAATCATTAATGCATGTGATTCTTCTCCACAGCTGAGCCACTGAGAGGCTTAATCTTTTGACTTAAATGGGTTTTTAAATGTACATAAGAATCTCGCAATTGCTGTGAAATTGTGCAGGGTGAAAAATTAGCATTGATCCAGCCGTTTAAGCAATTTAAAAAAGGAAAAAGATGAAACTTGTAATATCAGATCTTTATTCCCAACACGCTTACCAAACTGCATTTTGCTTTGTCATTCTCCCCTATGTTACTATAGCCATCTGCACGGTATGCGACCACATAATTTCAACTATGTGACTGTTACATGCTGGCATTGTTTTGCTGGGCAGAGGAGCCAGTGAGGTCCGTGTGTCTTTAGTGAGGTTCTTGGGGAATACCACATCCACCCTGCTGAATAACAACACCAGACAAACTATGTGAGCAATGTCCAAACAGGTCATGTTACAAACAAAACAGTCATTTGACAGCAAGGGAACAAATCTCAAAACACAGTGCATGAAACAAATCCAAATGGCCTTAGGAAAAATGCAACTTTTATTAAATTAGTAATAGTTTAATTTAATTCTTTATTTTTCATGTGTGTCAAAATGTTTTTAACATTTGAGTTCAATTTAGTCATTCATTTTGTTTCTGTTATGTGGTTTCCCTTTTTGCCATTCTGTTGTCTCTACAGTGGTAACTGTGAAAGTACTTCTGAAAGCATAAAGTTAATATTATAAGTACTTTTAAATATTTCTCAGTACTTTATTCACTTTCTTAAAAATTTTCCCACTGGCAAAGAAAACAATGTTTAAAAATATTATGCTTTTAATTGCTTTTGATTCCTTTCTTTGAAAAATCAATCTGACACATAACTGGATATTATTTATTATTCCCTCTAATAGAGGGAGAACTTTGTCCATAATATGTGATCACAGTAAACACCAACATTATTTACCCTGCACAAGCGCATTTCTTTTACTGTTATTGTGTTTAGACTTTCGCTCTGATTGAATTTGGAGTGTGCAATGCTGGAATTGCTCTGTGCATGAAACAATGCCCAAAACCTCAATAAACTCAAACAATGTTGTAAAGAAGACTAGGTCAAAGGTCCTCAACAACAGTGTGAGAGACTCATAAAATCATGCAGAAAATAATTTCTTAACATTATTGCTGCTAACAGTAGTGACAGTAGTGCTGAAGATGGTTTTGCAAGCTTCTTTATAATGGGGTGTCATTTTAACAGGACAGTATTTTTGTCAGTGATTCCTTGATGTGTGTTGTCCTCCCAGGTTTTGTCTTCTGCTTTTGATTGATTCCTGTGAGATTTGCATTGCTGGAGTTTATTTATTTATTTTTACTGTAAGTTCTGTCCAATTCCTGCATCAGAGTCTGCCTATGGTGCAAGCCCATTACTGATTCTAGCCATGAATGCCTCAGAAGGATCTGATTCACTCCAGGGTTTGACTTAGAATAAGTGTAGCAGCTAATCAGCCCAAGCTACTGTTGACAGGCCAGTGGACATTGCATTTAGAATGCACTTACCTATTCATGATCCAAAAATCTAGAATGAAAAATGTGTTAGAGACCCTCTTGCCCAGTAAACTGTTCTCCCCTTGTTTTTTACCAAATCCTTTCTCTTATACCACAGAATGAGCAATAACAGTACTGAATTACCTGACTGGTAGGACACAAGAGTGAGCTTCAGCTGAGTGGGCAAGGCATTCATTTAAAGATTACTCTCTAGCAAGTTTTTATTATGGAACCCACGGGAGAGAAAAAGCTCCTTTTCTCTTTCTCATCCATCAAGTTAAAGCAGAATGGCAGATTTTGTCTTCCAGTTCTGTACTTTGGTTCAAAGTGGCTTGACTGGTGTCTCTCTTGCTGATGCCTTTTTGTGCATTTTAGCCAAGCAAATCTAAAGTGCGAAGATGTCAAAAAGTGTCTCCCAGATGAGTTTGCACCTTTATATTTTCTACTGACTTAAATTCCCTAGTTTCCATGGATATCAGTCTGGACAATCTGGTGTTAATTACACATAAAGAGCACTCCCTGAAGCCAGTGAATTCCTTTAGCCCAAGATCCATCCTTCCATTTTCTACCACGTGTCACGGGAATGGTCAAAGGAGGAGAAATCTAATCAGAGAAGTCCAGACTTCCCTCCCATCGGACACCTCCTGTAGGGTCATCCAGGGCAACACCAATGCATTCCCAGGTCTCTCAGCTGACCTGGGATCCTGAGCAGTCTCTCCTACTGGGAGGACAGCCTTGTGCTCTTCTGGGAGGACAACCTTGCTTCGAGGCCAATTGAAAGTCTTGTTCCATGGCCTCACTGAACTCCTCCCACACCTTGCAAAATGCTCTGCTTTAACTACTGGCAGAGCCTCATTCCTCTGGGCCTCCCAGAACCAGTCAGCTGCCCCTGGAGTTCCACAAGCTAACCAAACCTGAGAGGACCCTTTTCTCATCTTGATAGCTCCCTTCTGTGTCCATCATTGGGTCCTGGGATTACCACTACAAATGCTCTAACCACCTTGCAACCATACCTCCTCAAAAATTAAGGTGCCAAACATGGGTCATTTGGACTCAATGTCGTTTAGCCTCCATCGAGGCACCAGGTGAGGTTATGTTTTGCCAGTATTTCTCAACTTGGCACGCTAGCTCAGATATCTTCCCCACAAGAGAGATGATGTTTCATTTCCCAAGAGTCAGCCCCAGCAGTTGGGCCTCAACCGCAAAAGCCTCCTGTGGGTGTTGAGCCACAAGGTGGCTCCAGGGCACACCCCTGGTACCCCTGTCTCAGACAAGGTAAAGTGGTCCCTTGATTCCTTGGTCTTGCATAGGGATCATGTGGATAGTTCATTGTCTGCCCTTCAGGGCCAATTTTCCTCAGGGAGACCTTACCAGGGCAAAAACCCCTGACATCATAGTCTCTGGGATCTCTGGGATAACACAAATAATAACACCACAATAACGTGGCGTTTCACAGAGTGTTATTGGTCTGCACCATTAGACTGATAATACACCCATGTTCATCCAGTTTGAGCTGGTTACCCAGGAGGTTGAGAGTTAGGTGAGGTAAGTACTGGAAGATGTTAAAGTTCCAGGAAGCTGCGCCTTTGAGTAATTCTTTATTCCTCGGCCACTTAAGTTATTCACTGACATCAACAGACATTAATACTCACACGTCACATGGTGACAGGCTAGAAATGAGAGGGGATGTGAGAGATTTTATTGCTTTCTGTTCAGCCTGCTCAAAAACTAAACCTTGTAATCATCATCCTGTAGGCTCGCTCTATGTCCTTCCCTCCTATTCCTTTGTGGATGTGGTTCCACATTTCTGGTGACTTTGTAGCTGTTATTCCAAACTCAGAAGGTAACACAACTATTTTCTCTGTCAACAATTTCATCGTATTGCTCAACCTACTCTCTGCCAAAAAGGTTTCTCACAGGTCTCTCACCTTTCCAGTGTTTTCACAGTTACAAGCCTTTGCTCTTTCCATAACTGAAAGAGGTGTTAGTTCCTTAAGCTTAGCCACTTATTTGCAGGTGCTACCTTGCGTGGAGGAAGGTTTGAACAGCCTTGCTCCTGTCATTAGATGGGCCTGAAAGTCTGGATGTCCACCAAAGATCTGCCTGTACAGGTTGAATTTATGCATATTCGCTGCCCTTTTGCAGCCCTTTCCCAACTTCCCCAAGGTGGTCAGCTTTGTTGCTGTTTTTCCTCCTCTCAACATGCTTCAGCCAGGTCAATGTATGTAGTCAAGCAGCTCCTGGTGCAGAAGGAAGAGAAGGTTGTTGATATCTGGTCAATTGGGTGGGGTATGGTTCAGGTGCCTCTTAATAAGAAAGGGTACTCTGATGACCCACAGGAGCCCTGCATTTCCTGCTTTATTATAAAAAAAATACTCACCTTCTTTTATTGTTGTTAGTTCTGCTTCCTTTCTTAATTTCTGTTTTCCCATCAGTCGGCCACACCTGTGTCCATCAGTCAATTGCTAAACAGGTAGTTTATTGAATCTCTCAACTGCCAACAACCTCCTGAAACCACATGCCAACTGGACAGAGAATTTAGACTTTTTTTTTTCCTTTAGGGTAAATTGTAGCTGACAATGAATTGCAATACTTTTTAAAGAGCATTTCTTCCCTTGTGTGCATGCTTTCTCACTCTCTGAAAGTAACACCACAAATTACAATGTATTTTCTTTGGTGACAGGACATACATATGGCTTTAAATCAATATTGAGTACCTTTTGCTCACTTGTACCTTACCTGTTTCCCTTGTACCTTATTTTACCTTATAAATGATGTGCTTACTGGTGCTATTTTTTTTTTGTTGTTGTTACTTTCAGGTTTACTCTCTATGCAGTGGATAGCCGAGGTAGTTACTCTGAATCAAGCTTTGTCTCAGTACGGACATCTTGTCCAGTGGTGGATGACACGCGAGCAGAAGGTACTCTCACCCATCATTTTTTGGGACTCTGCTTTATTGTACTCATCTTTATTTAATATTGCTTTTTTCCTTGCATCGCTTTCATGTAATCACAGTTTACCTGAATGGCTACTTATCCACTACTTTGTCTACTGTGCTCTTACCTATGCAATGTGCACATGCAAGATTGCACACTATGGTTAGCAAAATGTAAAGGCACACTCTACCAATTTGTAATGTCAATTTAATTTTTTAATTATAGCAGACAGAATTTGTCAAACAAAGTACTCAAGAATCCAAAATATGGGAAGGAGAGTGCTTTAGGAGGTACGGCCAGATTTACTCGGTGGGACAAATTAGAGTGAGGCTGTAATCACAAAAAAATGCACCAATGGGGGTGGAAAGTTCTGTGGGTGGGCAGCTGCTACTAAAAATGCACAAATTCATGAACACTATCCCGCATGTTCATTTCAGTAATGACTAGCACAGTCTCCTAAGAGTAGCATAAACAAGTACATCCAACAAGTGAGCAAGTAATCGACTGCCAAAATAATTCAGATTAAGGAGAGGCATCTGAAAGGCAATCGTGTATGTGCTGATATAAGAGCAAATGCTTCTGTTAGATATTGCAAGGGACTGAGTGGCGTTTTGGAGGTCAGGTAAATGTAATAGCCCAAGTGGAGCTCAGAATTTATCTAAAGACAGAGTGCTTATATTACAAACAACTCCACTGAATAACACCTCAAATGCTATGTAACATGTCTTCCACAAGTTTTGAGTCTGAATGGAGAATTCCTACCGATAAATGTGTAATATGGATGAAGTAGATAACGTACCTTTCAAAAAAATGCACAGCAGTTTTTTTGGTTTGTTTTTTTCTTTTTTCTTTTGTTTAGTTTTATTTTCATGGCCGATAATCAATCTGACCCCTGTTGTTTAAAATTCTGTATGTTTTCTGCATGTATTTTTACATATTCCCTTAAAATTTTAATCTCTTATTTACTTTCCTCACTTCTTCCCTCTCTGTTTTTCAGTCTCTAATTCATTCATCTATTCTTCCCGACAGAAACTGCAGACAAGGTGTACAACTTGTATAATGGCTACACCAGCGGCAAAGAGCAGCAGATGGCCTACAATTTGCTGATGGAGATTCCTCCTCCACTGCTCTACAGAGTCCAGCATCACTACAATTCTCATTATGAAAAATTCGGAGACTTTGTCTGGCGTAGCGAGGATGAGCTAGGCCCCAGGTGAGAATATTTGAATGTGAAACCAGAGCTTTTAACTGTGCAGACTTGAAAGATATTTCACATATTGTCATTTTTTATAACTATCTGAGGATTTTTAGGTGTAACAGATGTTTTATTGTCTTGAAAAATAATCCTCATTATTTTTCCAGTCTGTCAGTAACCTCACCCCTCACACACACTCAATCAGGAGCAGCATTGCACAACATGCACACACACATAGGCTCCCAAACTGCTTCTACTGGAAAGCCAGTGGGCAAGGTCATCATAAAACCTTTGGGGTTACAGTTGCTCCTTACATCACCATGGTGATGCCAAAACAGCGTTTGACAGCCAAGCCAAACACTAAACGTGATATTCAGCTAAGACCCTGCTCAACCTCCAGCACCGTTTCCTCTTTTTCTCATAAAAAGCTCATCTGTGTCTGCACTGTACTGCACCGACATCCTGTCACCCATGACCCCGTTTAAAGGGTCACCCCTACTGATAGTTAGAACAGACAGCGCGACTGTATGGTGAAATGAAAACAGAAGCGTATAAACCAACAAAACAGAAAAAGAGGAAGTATAAACAAAATGTTTAAAATACGTAAAACAAAACATTGATATATGTAAGTCTGAGAAGGCAGTTGGCCCGGCACTGATTTTAGCAACATGTGATCTTAAGTTACAGCACATTGTTTTGGTTAATCCACCCCAATTGTCTGAAAGTACTCCTTTCAAGCCATAAATAATATAATAATTAAGGAATAACTTTGGTCTGATTATGCTTCTTTCTGATTGGTGAAGGGGGGTGGGAGGCACAGGTCAGCCACTGGGACTTAGAATAGGCATTGGAGTAGTTGGATAGTGTGTTTGTCTATGCGTGTTTGTGTGTGGGCAGCTGCGAGGGGGTGGAGGGCTGGAGTGAGTGGAGATTATTTACTGCCTGAAGTTGGCAGGGTTGAGCCTCGTTGTGGTAATTTACAAGCAGACTCTATTGGTGGTTCCTTTTAAAAGGTAACAGCATGGCCAAGTGAAACATAAGCACAGTCAGCACTACTCCAGTAGCTGAGAATCCCAGGGGCCCCCCACATGTCCACCATTGTTACAGCACCTCATGCAATGGTTGTATTTGTACATTGTGTGCATGGTTAATGCTTTCTTTTACTCTTACTCTGAATGCAAACATCTTATAATGTTATGTAGTGTCCTCGGCTGGAATGCCCTGAAACTGCATTCTTAATCAGTGCTTAACAGTCTTTTAATGAAATTTATAAATGCAAGGCCAAATCTTAACCGAGGAGTTGCCATAGACGCAACTTAAAATGCATGTTTTTTCTTCTTTCTGTTTTTGATCTCTTTGTTTTGTTTCATAATTGAATGAATTTAGTTTCTCTTTTTCAACCTTTTTCATTTTCTGTTGTTTTGGTTTTTTATGCCCTGAGTCACGTGCTTCCTAGTCAGCCTTGATAATGTGTTTGGTATTCTGTTGTTTCAGACGTAAGAATTTAGGGGAAATGAGAAAATGCCACCCCCACCACCACCACCCTTTCAGCGAATAAGTGAAAAGGATGTCTGTACTCCTTGCTTAACTAAAGACAGATGTTGATGTAGCAGACACTGCTTTTCAAAACAAAGTGAATTGTGTTTTTCTCAGTATGGACCTTTTTCATTTTAGCATATATATATATACATATATATATATACATATGCATATATATACATATGTATATGTATTGTAAAGTCTCTCTCTCTGTATATATATAGATAAGTAGATATATAAATCCTTTGTAATCTGAGCTGACCTGACATGGCATATGGTTCAGTCATGGCTTAAACTTCAGCTCCAGACTCCAGAAGTTTGAGACAAAATTCTTTGTTTCACTCACTCTAGACAGCTGCCTCTGATGTATTGTTAAGCAGAACCAGCACCCAAGAACTCAAAATGCGCCATTGCATGTCTTGGTTTTGTCCCAGACAGGCAGTCTTATTAGATGGATGGGAGAGACTCAGATGCAGTTCTTTGAAATCTGGTGACATTTGTGCAGACAATTCATATGTGGAGACACAGATAAAGGCACAATCCTGATTCTTTTTTTTTTTCTGTTTGAATTCATGTGTTAACTTTTTACCACTTTTCTTTTTAATGCATTAAAAATAGGTCTTGTTAGGAACAAACTGGTATCTTTAAACCAGGGCATTTTGTGCCTGCTGGATGAATCTGTTGCCTTTATAATCCCAATTCATTTTATAGATATTTTCATCAACAGCTGCTTATAATTTGTATGAATGACTTTCTTTGATGCTCCATAAAAATCCTAGCCATAGAACAACAGAACAAGCATGTGCTGTTGCTCTGTTGGAGATGCATTTGGTAAGACATGGGTACAAAATGTTGTTCTGTGGTCTTTAAAATTGCAACAGCATTACCATAATGACTTAAGATAAGGTATTTTTTGTTACCTTTGTCTAATTTAGAGGCAAAAGATATGACTTGGAGAGACTCTAATAAGTAACCAAACATCTCCCATAATGCATGATAACATGTTATAGTACTACTTGATAGCTAAAGCCTTGCCACTTGCTTACCCAGTGAATACAACAGAGTCCAGGAGAGAGCCTATGAAACAACATGTTGCTGCAAATTACTGCTGTCAGTGTTTTTTGTACTGAATAAAGGTGGTAAAAGTGGTTTACACTGAGGTCATGACTTGAACTGAAGCATCATTATTACGATGAGAAAGATGGACATCAGCCAGACAAGCTTAGGTATTTATACATTAGATATATATTCCTCAGAAATATATAATGTATAGTACCTTGATTTTCTGTACAGCTCTAGTATATATTCATTATGAAATACATTTTTGAAATTGTTCAGTAATTCTGCTTGTGTCCATTGTTGCCTAAACTTCAAGATTATTCCTTTTGCTCTAAAAGAATTTTTGCTCCAGCGATCTCATGTAATCTGCAGTTGTTTTGCGAACAGCAAACTTGAAAGAAAACATAATGATTTAAGTATAAAAGTCATATTTTTGTGATTTTATCTTCTTTAACAGAAAAGCCAACCTCATATTACGTAGGGTGGAGAAGATTAGCCTCTATTGCCGGTCCCTCCTGCGCAGCACCCACATCCAGAGCCGCACCGACACCATGGCATATGTCTACTGCCGGAGTGAAGAGGCACGACCTCCCACCAATATGTGGCATGGCTCTTTACATGACAGTCGCACTGCCTGCATGGAAAAGCTCATTTCTGTACAGCGTAACACATACAGCAGCACCAAACTCCGATGAGACAGGAGTTACGAAATGAGCAGTTCGTCTTTTGTTTTTTTCTTTTTTTTGCAAAATGACATCACTGATTGATGTACCTCTTCAGTACACTCTGCAGCAGTTGCCTCTCACTCGACTGTTGCATTTTGCAAATCGATTGAGGCTGAAAGAAAAAAAAAACTCTCACAGGACTTCATTCACTGGACGTTGTGTTAAAGCTACCGAAAAAAATATTTTTGTGTGGCCTACTTTTATTATGAGAAAGAAGATTATCCCAGAAAAAAAAATCCCTGACATATTTCTCCAGTGATGCCAGTGATTGCACATATCAATGAGAGACTGCAGAGTGAACATGTAAAATATTATTCAGACAAAAGAAAACTGGTTGACTTAAATACTTTGAATGTAAAATCATAGTTCCTTTTTGGTGCTTTGAAGCTTTCCTGGTACACTTAAAAGAAAGAGGAAAAAAAGGAAATATCCATAGTATAACTTATTTGCCTTTACTACCTTCATTCGAAAGGAGAAACTGAACTGTGTTAAAGCCAAAATCACTTACTTGTTTTTAAGTTCACATTAATTAAGAAGAATAACTACACTTTGCTTCAGGAATTTAAAATCGGTAAGTGAGAAAGCATGTAGTTTGACTTACATGACCTTCGATTGATTCACTTGAAACAGCAAGGACTTGTGTGGTAACAGGATTGATATTTGCCTAGTGAAATTATTATGCAAGACGGAGTAGGTGGCATTCAGACATTATATCCAGACTTTTGAGTTAGCTTTAATTTTATTGCTGAAATGAATGAATCATTTTCTTGTATGACTTTCTCGAACTGCAGTACCTATAGCCATGTTATATTACTTAAGTAATATAAGACTATTAGTATTAGTATAAAGAATTCTGATACTGGGGCGGTGGATGAAATCGAATCTTATATCTAGACTTTTGCAAGTTCATGTAATGTGTTTGTAATCTAATGATAAGTTATTGCTTGTGACTGAAACACGACTTGTCATTGTAGCATAAGTCCTGCAAATTGGAAATATACGAGACGCATATAAGAGAAGCAGTAACAGACCTAAGATTATATCAGATCTAAAGCTAAAACTGAAAATGTTAACTGGTTTTCAAAAGTTCTGCCCTCACAGCAGAATTTATACATTTTTTATATTTTTGTTTTTGCAGATAAATATAGCAAGCGTGATAATAAAGCTGTAGATCTGACCAACATTTTCCCAACAGTAGAAAACAGGACAATTACTGCTGACACAGATGTAAACATGAGGTACTGTACACTGAAATGTGAAGAATCAGTGATTGTAGGAATCACATGTGGTCTGTTTAATCTTCTTGTTTTTCAGTCCAATAACATATCTTCAAAGCCATGGATATTGTTTAACTGAAGATAAACAATGCCTTTTCAATATGTTCATCTCATGTTGTATGAATTGTAATAATAAATTATTATATTGTAAATTTTCAATTGTAAAAAAAAATATGTGTATTATTATGTGGCTTTGTCTTTTTCTGAAGAATGTGAAATATAAAAAAACAACATGTATAAAATGAGAGGATCTTTCTTTTTCCACTACAACAGACTTAATCGTTTAGATTTAGACCTGGGTCTCAGACAGATCTGAACCACTTACTCAGTCATCGTGAGTGGCTAAAACCCACAACAAACATGTATTCCAATTTTTTTTGCCACATCTGCAAATAAAATGTTTTCCTTGTGTATTTGATTTTTTTATTTTTTTTTGTAACGCTTTCCCCATTTTCATTTTATTGGTTATTTCCCACCTGGTAGTTATTTTCCACCTGGTGTGCGATTGTACTGTTGTAATTAAAAATACTTTTGTTTGGAAGCGCATATTTTTCAGTTAACGTCAGTTTCTGGTAACTAATGCAATCCATAAAAAAAAACCCAGAGAGACAAGGGGACTTTGATGTGTCTTTCCAACACAATAACGCTCGCAAAGTTATTACTGTGAGTGATTGGATAATTGTCACAACTTTCAAACCTAAAAGCCTGTTGAGTACTTTCAGATTTGATACGCTCACACTTCCTTGTTTAATATTGCTCAGTTTTTCAAAAGAAAACGTGTAAACCCATATCTAAAACCTATAGTGTTCATGAAATCATTTTTTCTGTGGTAAGTATAACGTTTTTTCGTGTTAAAACATTCACAACTGATGATGGTTGTTGGAAAGTACTGCATCTTTTGAAATATCTGCACCTACTCAACTTATCCATATGCCTTTGCCTATGGGGTAATATTCCACCTGTGGAAGAATATTAACCATATCTGATAGGATATGAGACTTTACACAGTGTTAGTTTACGTGTAGACCTGCAATTTTCTGCCCAAAATAAAGTATCTCAACATGTGTTTGAAGGATCACCATGAAATTGTACGTAATGGTCTCCAAAAATCTTCAAAGCCAGTGACTAATGATCCACAGTAATTTTCCTCTAGATCATCCAAAAGCTTGATATTGGATGTTTTGAGTGCCGTATCTCAAGAACTATTTGAAGAATTACAAAGATTTTTCAAACATTTAAAAACCATGGATCCATCATCCATTATATGGGCACTGACATCACTCAGTAGTCCTTGTTTTATGACCTGTTACCTACACAGCTAAAGCACCTTCCACTTATTTTATGTTTTGTGGTATTTCACAAAATTTAGCATGCTGACATGGTAAACCGAAGTAGTGATTATGACTGCTGCAGACACCATGGATGACTATTAATGTCTGCTATTCTTGTGTCACATCCACTTGAAGTCTGCCTCAAGGACGTATGTTTAGTGTGGTGTTGTATGATTTCTGCCAAACAAGTCCACCCAAACAATTGGAGTATGAGGCTGACATCCACAAATTGCCTGGTTTTCACCTGTGGATGATGGAATTTACATCACTTGGATTCAAGCAGTTTTCCCTATAGTCAATTATGTGGGAAGCATGACCTGTTAAAATAATGTTAGATGTAACATTATGTAAACTAAGGTTGCCAATGCTGCCAGGCTACTGAATCAGAAAAATTCTGCAAAAAAAAAGATAATCAGTTTATTCTAAGCATCTGTCTTTGCACGATTTTATTACACTGGAACAATAGTTTGAATTTACATTGTACTTTGTTTCATCTAATTAATTAAAATTAGGTTGAAGGAGTAAGCAGTATTGATTATCAATATCCAGCATGTATCAACACACAGATGGTGTTTTATAGTTGTGGTTGTGCTAATTAAATGTGGCTCATATGACTAATGTGCCCGACTTGAAATGACACGGACCTCACAGGAGAGAAGCCCATGGTATGCAAACCACTACAATGAAGTTGCACAATATCGGAGCAATAACTGGATCACAATTAATTAGAATGAAAGGAAAATGAGGCGCTGATGAAAATGGCTGTAAGCAATTGTAGAATAGAGTGCAATTCTGTTATTTCTTAAGTTTTACCCAATTTACTGCATGCTCTAGCAGAAAAATATTTACATTGAGTTGGAAAGGGGGAAATCAGTCACTGAACTACCAGCTATCCCCTATGAATTACACTAAATTATGTCATTAACTGAAGGTCTTCATGTGAGCTGCTGGGAAGCATTTTCTCTTTCCACCTCCCTCGACAAACTATTCCTTTACGCTCAGATCCAGTTTCTTTCCAGTCATGCAACATTAACCGCACTTTAAAAATCAGTAGTTTGATGTTGATTCTCACAAACTGGGCCATTAGGCTCATTCAAGAGCCAAGAGCACCACTCACATTTCCATGCCAATGTATCAATGAAGGATGACAGAATGAACAAGAATGAGTTCTATATAAAAAATCTTCCATTGTGTGCATTAAAGCTTAGGTCCTCTCCTATAAGCCTGGAACTCTGAGGATTCTGCGCAGTATCTTAATTGTTCCTAGGACTCCACTCTTCCGGATAGGCACCTCTATTTTGTGTCTGGAATCTGCTGGAGCCACACTTCCAGCTTTGGAGTCACAGTTCCTCATACTCCTATTACCACAGGGACCCCTTTAAGCTTTACCTTCCAAATCTTCTCCATTTGTTCCTTCCCCCAAGTGTTTTCCTAGGGGAGACTCATGCTCCTTCTTTCTGTTGTTGTTATCCGCTGGAATTGCCACATCTGTTCCTTGTCAACCACCATTTTCTGGTTTGTTGGCTAGAAGCTGCTTGTCTGCCAAAAACTGGGATGTCAGCCCTGTTGTTCTCAACACCTTCACTGGTGTCTCCCATATGCTGGATTAGAAGTGGATCGGATAATCTAAAGATGTACTGGTACACTTATATCCTGCTACTATGTGGTGGATAGTGAGGCCTGTAGTTGTGCTGCCATGATCAGAGCCTGTGTGTTGTCCTTCATGTTAGCCTTTTCTAGTCACTGCCTGGATTTCTGGATGTCAGCCACTTCTTGCATCTATCCATGGCCAGTGTTGGGTATAATGCGTTACTAAGTAACGCGTTACTGTAATTAAATTACTTTTCCACTGAAAAAGTAGAGTAACTAATTACTGTTCATTTTTAGGTATTAGGTACTTGCGTTACATTGTAAAATAATTAAACTCGCTGAATATCATTGTTTAATTTCAATAATTTATCTTCTAAACGTAGAAGTAAACTCTGCCGCTTTAACATCGCTGTAGTGCAGGTTCACGTCATTTCGCGCCAGTTTGCTGCATAGTCGTATTCTAAAGCGGAAGATGTCGGACTCGGCTGAAGCGAGTGGCTGTTTTATGAAATGGACATATTCCCGTCTCTTCACTTTTCTGAAACAAGCAGACGAGAATATTACAGTAATATGAACACTTCTGAGTGATCCTTGTTCATCATCCATGGATAACTCCACGGCAACTCCTGCTAAGCAGGCAAACCTCAAATCAAATCAAATCACTTTTATTGTCACATCACATGTGCAGGTACACTGGTACAGTACATGTGAGTGAAATTCTTGTGTGCGAGCTTCACAAGCAACAGAGTTGTGCAAAATACAATAATGTAACAAGCAAAATACAAGAATGGCTACATCTGAAACTAATAAATATATGTACAATATATAATAGTATATGCATTTCTGGATGTGTATACTAAATATTTTTCTACGTGTGTGTGTGTGTGTGTGTGTGTGTGTGTGCGCGCACATATTTTACAAATTAAATAGAGTAAACAATAAATAAAATATATAAACCTTGATTTTACTTCAGCAGCACAGAAAGCGTCTGAAGGTGAGCTTAAAAAAATGATTGCAGGCTACATTGTGGAGGAGATGCTACATCTGCAGACTGTAGAGTCTCCGTCTTCAAAAAAATTTTTTTATTATTTAAAGAGTTTAATTTCTATTGTTTGCCCACTCAAGGTTTATAGGGATTTTAAGAAGTATTTAGTTAAATTACTTATTTAGTAATTAAGTTACTTTTCTGACACAGTAATTAGATAAGTATTTTAAATACAATATTGACTAAGTAATTAGTAATTAATTACTTTTTTTAAAAGTAACTTACCCAACACTGTCCATGGCACAGTCCATGCAGGAACTTGGTCTTCCATCATAGTTCCTGTGGCCACCTTATTATGCAAGGTGGGTGACCAGTTAGAAATGAGGTATTAGTAGCTTTCGTTTTCCAGAGCCATTTTGCTGTGTCCACCAGATGCCAGTTTTGAGTTGCTTTATTCTATTATCTGATATTATAGCACTGAGCTACCAGGGCCTTTGTGGTCAAGGTGGACATGGTCTTCTGTTCATCCAATATTTACCACATGGGTAAATGAACTGGTTCTTATATAGCGCTATTCTACTCTGAGCACTCAAAGCACTTTACACAACTTGCCTCATTCAACTATTCGCACAAGCACTTTCTTCTATGGACTTTGTCTGCAATTGCTTTTTATCTGACATTCACATGCATTCATGCTATGATGGATGTATCAGATAGCAAAGTATCTGATAATCAGCAACCCTCTGATTAGTAGATGACCTGGTCTACCACCTGAGCTACAGCCTCTCGCATTGGTTTGGCTGGCACAGTAGCACAGTATTAAGCTGAGAGGCATTCAAGTCAGTATGGCTTTGTTTATATGTCTCTCTGTCATGTTCCAAAGTAGGCTCAAGTTGCATTGGAGTCTAGCCTGGGGACCCTTATGGAGTGCAGTGTTGAGTGTGATTTAAACCCCATGAGGGCCCGCTGCTTCCAGCTGATGTTACCTATAGCGTAGACCTAGCAAGCTAATCTAATTTCAAGGAATGACCTGAAATTCCTTGAAATTTGGGGACAGCATTTGGAAAGGTTTCATACTGAAGCTTGAATCTGTTCAAGCTTCTTACACACTGACAAAAGGAAGTTGCTAGCTACTTACAAGGCTGGACCCACATCTTTTTGTCTATGCAGCGTTGTCTGTCAATGATTAAAAAATATTGGAACTTTTTAAAAAAAAAACAGACCACAGACATCCAGCATTATGCTCACTTTAACCAGTGTTTTATTTCTACACAATAAATGACAGCAAAATGAACATGATACTCATCTTTATGACTCTTTTATGAAAATATAGCACATATCAGACATGTTTTGCAATGTACCAGAGCACCAAAAAATATATAATTGCAACTGTGACAACAGAGAGAACAATCGGCTGAAACATAAAAGTCCAGTCTGTTGTATATGTGCCTGAAAAGTGCATACTGTGTAAGAAAAAAAAGTGAGAGGAGGTCATCTGAGGGAGCAAGGGCCCACTGAGTT